AAGGAAGGAAGAAAAGGAAAAGGAAGGAAGGAAGAAGAAGGAAGGAAGGAAGAAAGAAAGAAAAGGAAGGAAGGAAGAAAAGGAAGGAAGGAAGGAAGGAAGGAAGGAAGGAGGGCTCCGGGTCTGGCTTCTTCTTTGCTCCCTCCTTTCACCTAAAAGCCAATTGAGAGCAGGGAAGATTGGGGCCTCGGTGGGGATCCCCATAAAGTAGCCAAACATTTTGGAAAAAGCAGAGAAGAGAAGAAGAAGAAGCAAAAAAAAAAAAGAGAAAGAGAAAGAAAAAAGAGAAAGAAAAGAGAAAATAGAAAAGAAAAAAAACAGCTTGAGGGGCTTGGGTCTCTGTATAACTCAAGGGCCTTCAAACATGGCAACTTGAAGACGTGTGGACTTCAACTCCCAGAATTCCTGAGCTCACATGACTGGAGGAAGAGGAATTCTGGGAGCGGAAGTGGTCTTAAAAACTCAAGTCTGAAGAGCCTCCTGCTCTGACTCCACCAGAATAGAGCTGGAAGGGACCTTGAAGGTCATCTAGTCCGACCCCCTGCTCGAGCAGGAGATCTTATACCAAGTCACACAAGACCTGCAGGGTTGGAGCCCCCACGACGCCTGGTGGCCAGCTGTTCCAATGGTTAATTCTCTTCCCTGTTAGGAAGTTTCTCCTTTCATTCCATGTTTCTCCTCCTCTCCTGGATGAGTTTCCATCCGTTGCTTCTTGTCCTGGTCTTTGTGGGGGGGGTGGGGGCTTTGGAGAACAAATTTGACCCCCCCTCCTCAAATCCTGGAGCCTGGTGGGCACAGCGATGACGTGGCAAGGAAGAAAACTTGTAAAACCAGGGCAAAACTCACTTCACAACTTCCCCACTTAGCAAACTAACTACCTTGGGATAACTTCTGTGTTCGACTCAACCAAGGATGATTCAGGGGTGGTTCTTTCTTTTTTTTCCCCAATTTTTTAAAAATTAATTTTCAATAAACAAACATACGCAAACAAAAAACCAAACATGAAAACATACAACTTCTTTTTGGAAAGCGGCTTGATCCCGGGTTAGATCTTTTTGTACAGACATAAATTCGAATTCATGCTCACGTAGTATACCATTTCATATCTTATTTACCATTCTATATTTTCTATATGGCTTCTCCCCTCTTTTCAATCTCTTAATTCTGTTTTATTTAGTTCATCTCAATTTAAATCATTATACTTGTATCTTTTGTCCGTTCTGTTTCAATTATCTGATTATCTTTTCTCTTTTAACACAAAATTTCTCCTGTAATCACTAATCGACGTATGACGCTTTTATATCTTTCTGCTAAATTTAACGCTTAAAATAATATATAATTTTCCTTCTGATTCTGCTGGGTGTGGTTCTTAAAGGTGCCGCAAGGGGGCGCTCCTCACCAGAGAATAATAGAAAACAGCTGGGCTGGAGAGAATAGGTAGTCCTCTTCTTACAACCAACATTGAGGCTTCACATTTCCGTTGCTAAGCAAGACAGTTACGACACTTCCTGCCCCCGGGTTGCTAAGTGAATCACTGCAGCACTTAGCCACACGGTCGTTAAGCGAATCTGGCTTCCCCGGGGCTTGTCTGAGGGTCGCAAAAAGGGACGATCCCGGGACCGTCGTAAAGACAAGTCAGTCACCAAGCATTTGGATCACGTGACCCTGGGAGATGCCGCAAAACGGGTCGTAAGTTGTGAAAAACAGGTCCTAAGTCGCTTGTTTCGGTGCCATGGTAACCTCCAACGGTCACTAAATGAATGGTTGTAAGTCGAGGACTATCTGTATTGTGGGGGGCGGGGGCGGGGGGAACTGGGCATCCCCATGAAGAGAAGAATCAGGCTCAGGTGAAAGGAGCCTCACCTGGTCCCCAAGGTCACGTGACAAGAAGCCACGGGTGGAAACTGGTCAAGGAGAGAAGTAACCCGGAATGAAGGAGGAATTCATCTGTGGAACAGCCGGCCACTAGAAGTCTTGGGGGCTCCATCACGGGAGGCTTTTAAGAAGAGATTGGACAGTCACTTGTCTGAGGTAGTAGAAGTTCTCCTGCTTGAGCCGGGGGCTGGACTAGAAGAATTTATAGCTCTTGATTGATAGGATTTAAATTTATACCCTCCCACTTTCAGGGGACTGTAGGCAGTTTGCAAAAATGACACTTTTTCTTCTGACAGCCCAGCAAAGAGAATCTCTCCCTGATTTTATGGGGATACACAAGTCCTTGGCTTACGACCACAACTGGTATCAGAACACCTGTCACTAAGTGATACAGTCATTAAGCGTTTTAGGAGCTTTTTGCCAGGATTATTAAGTGAATCCTGCAGTTTTTAAGTGTCCCTGCTTCCCCCGTTGACTTAATTTTTGGAAGAGGCCTCCCTGGGAAGATTGCAAATGGAAACTACGTGACTTTCGGATGCGGCAACCGCCATAAATCCAGCACATGACTGGGTTGCAGTCATGGGACCCTGAGGCTACAGCAACGGAAGAATGAGGACCAATGCTTTTTTCAATAACTCTTCTAGCACTGATGATGTTACCTAACTGGGTAATGAAATGTCCCAAATGAAAACAACCAAGCTCAGAGGTCACCAAGGACCCCGCAGTCGTCATCCTCTTCCTCTTCCTCTCTCCTTCCTTCCTTCCTCCCTTCTTGCCTGCCTGCCTGCCTGCCTGCCTGCCTTTATTGATGATGCTACCTAGCTGGGTCATGAAACATCTGCAGGAAAATCACCAAGCTCAGAGAGCACCAAGGATCCCAGAGCCCATCCTCCCCACCTACCTCTTTTGCTTCCTCCTCCTCCTCTCCTTCCTTCCTCCTTCCCTCCCTCCTTCCTTTCTTCCTCCTTCCCTCCCTCCCTCCTTCTTTCTTCCCTCCCTCCCTCCTTTCCTTCCTCCTTCTCTCCTTCCTTCCTTCCTTCCTCCCTCCCTCCGTCCCTCCCACCTTCACTCCCTCCCTCCTCCTTCCTTCCTCTTTCTCTCCCTCTTTCCTTCTCTCATTCCTTCCTTCCTTCCTCCCTCCCTTCCACCCACCTTCACTCCTTCCTTCCTTCCTTCCTCCCTCCTTCACTCCCTCCTTCCTTCCTTCCTTCCTTCCTTCCTTCCCTCCCTCCCTCCCTCCCTACTTCCTCCCTCCCTCCCTTCCTTCCTTCCTATACTGATATTATTACCTAGCTGAATCATGAAATGTCTGCAGGAAAACCGCCCGGTTCCGAGAGCACCAAGCACCCCCCGCCCCCAGTCCTCCTTTCCTTCCTTCCATTCCTGATGATGTGACCCAACCTGGCAGCCCGAGAGCTGGCTGGGCCGGGAGGGAGGGAGGGCGGACTCCTCCTCCTCCTCCTCCTCCTCCGTGAGCTCAACCCCGGGGAGGCCGGCCAACTTCGCAAAGCGCCCCAGATCGGGCAAGGCAGCGCAGCGCAGCGAGGCGCAGCATCCGGGCAGCGGTCGGGGCGATGGGCTGCGCCTAGGCTGGGCCAGCGGCCGGACGAGGCGCCCCCATGGCCATCAACGCGGAGGCGCCGCTGGAGAAGGCGCTGGCCGGCTCCCCGCCGCCGCCCTCGGCCGCCTTGGCCGCCGCCTCCTCCTCCTCTTCCTCCTCTTCCTCGAAGGAGACGGAGCAGCTGCTGCGGAGCGACCCCTCGACCCCCAAACCCTGCCCGGCCGAGGACGGGGAGGCGTCGGCGGAGGCGGCTGCCGCCGAGGGGGAGGCGGAGGCGTCGATGGAGCCCAACGGCCACGGCTTACTCTCCCGGGCCGGCTCGGAGGGGCCGCTGGAAGCCACCTCGCTCTCCCCGTCGCGGCTCAGCCTGGCGCGCGCCTCGTCCACCGCCACCACCTCCAACCTGCCCCGCCGCTCGCCGGATTACCTGCCTCTGGCCATCCTCTCTTGCTTCTGCCCCATCTGGCCGGTCAACATCCTGGCCCTGGTCTTCTCCATCATGGTAAGATTTGAACCTAAATCTTGGGAGGTGGGGTGGGTGGGTGGGTGGGATTTCCCGCCCCCCCCACCCCCAGGTTTAATTCGGGGGTTCTGCCGCTTACGGGGTCGCCCCTGGGCAGAAAGGATCAGCTTAGAAACCCCAGAAATATTAGGACGATTAGACTTGGAGGGTTAATGGGGATAAAGGGTGATATTTCTAGGTTTGATGTAGAATGGAATAGAATTCCCTTTTTTGGGCAAGGGTGACTGGACACACGAGGAATTTGTCTTTGGTGCATAAGCTCTCGGTGTACATAAAAGAAAAGAGACATCCGTCAAGGGTCAAGAATAATCAGGTACAACATTTAGTAATAGCCATAGGGTACAATAAGAATAGAGTAGAGTAGAGTAGAGTAGAGTAGAGTAGAACAGAACAGAACAGAACAGAACAGAATAGAATAGAATAGAATAGAATAGAATATTGGAATGAGGAATGGAATGGAAGAATCAAATGGAATAGATTAGAATAGAAAATAGAATAGAACAGGAATGGAATGGAATAGAATGGAATTCTTTATTGGCCAAGGGTGATTGGACACACAAGGAATTTGTCTTTGGTGCAAATGCTCTCAGTGCACATAAAAGAAAAGAGACATTCGCCAAGGGTCAAGAATCATCAGGTGCAACACTTAATGATAGTCACGGGGTACAATGATATAGAATAGAATAGAAATAGAGTTAAGAATAGAATAGAAATAAAGTTAAGAATAGAATAGAATAAAATAGAGAATATAATATAATAGAATAGAGAATAGAATAGAACAGAATAGAGAATAGAATAGAACAGAATACAGAACAGAATAGAAAATTGAATAGAATAGAAAATAGATATTTGACACACAAGGAATTTGTCTTTGGTGCAAATGCTCTCAGTGGACATAAAAGAAAAGAAACATTTGTCAAAAGTCAAGAATCATCAGGTACAACACTTAATAATAGTCATAGGGTACAATGATATAGAATAGAAATAGAGTTAAGAATAGAATTAAGAATAGAATTAATAAAACAAAAATAAGAACAATAAAGAAATCCCAGAATTAATTCCAAAAGGTGGCAAAACGCTAAGCGCAAGCGGCGAGCACCCAGAGCGCATCGGAGCCACCGCTGCTTTTCCCGGGATCCGGACAGGTGGAGGGCCGACAGGTGGGGCTTGGGAGAGTTGGATGGGCTCAGGAAAGGGGGGGTGTCCCTTGACTGGGCCCGCCGAGAGCTCCCCACCCACCCAACCACCAGTCCTTTGGAGCCGGCTCGGCTTGGAGAGCGGGGTGCCTCTCTCTCTCCAACCTCTCCAAACCTTCCCAAAAGCGCAGCGCAAAAGCCAGCGGGTTATAAAACGGGCTAAAGATCCAGGCTGGGAGCGACGATCAAATCCGGGGGTGGGGGGGTGGGGGCGGGGGGGGGAAGAGGAAGAGGAAGAGGAAGAATCGACCCTTCTTTTAACTAAATCTGCGCCGGGCAGGTTTTTTTTAAAGCAGAAATACCAGAACGGCGAAGTTTTCCTAATGCAGCGCCCGTGAGAGACTCAAAGGAGCTTTGGGGTGGGAGCTTCAACTCTGGAGGGTTTTCCAGAAGAGACCGAGTTGCCACCTTTCAGACATGGTGTGTAGGGTCTCCTGCTTTGCGGGGGGTGGGGGCGTGGGGGTTGGACTAGATGACCTACCGGGTCCCTTCCAACTCGGTTATTCTGTGAACGGGAAGCCCCTCCCCGCCCACTCCGTTCAGGCAAAGCTCTTAGGCGATGGCAAAAGGAGATTCCACGCCCCACCCCACCCCCCCAGGATGAAAACATCTCTTTAAAATGTCCCTGCAGGAGGTTGAAGAAATAAAAGAGGGAGAAGGAAGAGGTTGGGTTTATATTCTGGAGAAATTTGACGGGCTTTCCAAGGATTGTTTTCAAATAATGTGACAGATAAACTTCCAATCCTGGCCGTTTTGTGGTTTTGCAAAGAGAGAGGAAGGGAGAGAGAGAGGAAGGGGGAGGGAGGGAGGGAGGGA